CGCTTACCAGCTGGTTCTGGACACAGTGAGATGCCAGTGTGGGTTTGGAAGACAGAAGGCAGGTGGGAGCCGTGCTCCCTATGCCATGGTGGTGGCAGTTGACACACAGGCTTTGGGAGACCTGAAGTCCCACCTCGTCTGCCAGACCTGAAGCTGAGGGCGGGTGTGGAGACAGCAGGAGTTTCCTGATCTCTGAGGGAACCAAAGCTAAGATGGCAAATCTGACAGCTCCTGGTGGGCCCCACCCACCCTTTTCTTCTCCAGCCCTTCCAACAGTTTTGCAGGCATAGAAGAGCCTAAATTAAATCCTTTCTACTTGAAACATCTACACAGATTGTTTTCCTAACTGAACTCTGCCTAATGCATCTTAAATCTCATCTCCTAGGAATGAACACTGTACATTCTGCATATGTGGTCTTCTAAAAAATTTTATTCATGAATATTTTAAACAAATTGGATCATCTGACACACACTGTTTTATAATATGTGCTTTTTCACTTAACCGTTATGAGTGACTTCTTAAAATCTCCATCTGACTTGGGCAGATATATAATGGGAGGGGGAGATGGAAAAATACATCCGTAGCTCACTTTGGACCTGAAGAGCATATAAAAAGGACGTGTAAGCAAATTCAGTGTGAGATTTTCTTTCTTTCCCAAGGAGGTTATTTTCTCTTCCCCTAAGCTGCTTTTGTAGCATCCACCTGTCAGTACCAAGTCTCATGAGTCGTCCCCAAGCTTTGCTTCATTTCTCCTTTACTCATTGGCCCTCTGATGTCTGGCTTCTGACTTTAACAACTTAGCAAAAGTTTTTTGCCATGAAGTGAACTGTGGTTCCCTCCATCCCCCATTCATATTTTGAAGCCCTAATTGTGATGGCATTTAGGGATGAGGCCTTTGGGAATGAATTATGGTTAGACATAGTATAAAGGTTGGGACCCGCCTTTGTCCCCGTGTGTTGCTCCGAAGGAGTACTGAGACTCAGTAATTTATAAAGAGAAGAAATTTATTTGGCTCCCGATTCTGCAGGCTGTTCAAGAAGCCTGGTGCCAGCATCTGGTGGGGGCCTCAGCTGCTTCCACTCATGGCAGGAGGTAAAGGGGAGCTGTGTGCAGAGATCACATGGCAAGGCCGGGAGCGGGAAGGAGGCGCCGCCAAGCTCTTTTTAACAACCCGCTCTCATGGCAGCTGGTAGAGTGAGAGCTCATTACCACGAGGATGGCACCAAGTCACTCACAAGGGAGCCACCCCGTGACCCATGTGCCTCCCACTGGGCCCCACCTCTGACACTGGGGCCCAGATTAGAACGTGAGATTTGGAGGGGACAAATGTCCACAGCAGGCTTTCAGAATTTATGAGAGACACCCAAGCACTTGCATACTCTCTCCCCACCCCTGGGAAGCACTTCACAAATGCTTCTGTGTGATGAAATAACTCGAGTTTAGAATCCTGTGAGGTGATGCTGCATGTTCCAAAGAGAAACGCCTGAGAATGTGGTTATTCCTGTGTTATGAAACCACCGCTGTGGATCACCAGCATTTATCAGCTTATGGAAGCATCTGTTTTTCTGGTGTAGAATGGTCACTGTTCTGGCCTTTTCATCCACATTTTCCTCTTCCTCATCTCCAGTGTTTGCAGTTGGTGTTTTTTTGGGAGGCAGTTTTTTTCCTCAAGGAAATAAGTTATCACTTGATAAGAGCGATATGATAAAAGGAAGTGAACAATAAAGTCATTTTGCGATGCTGACACATCAGCCAGACACCCTCACCAGGTAGGTGAGTCAAGGCTATCCAGAGCCACCTTTAAAGCACCTCTCAAAATCTTGTCTTTGTAAAACTGCCAGGGACCAGTAGAGTTTTCTTCTTATTCCATTGCTCTTAGTTGGCCCAAGCCCCTAAATGCTAGAGAAACCCTCTAGTCATCAATCTGCTGCACACGCCGCAGTCACAAATTCATTGCCAGTTTATGAAGGGCTCCGAGAGAAGCCGGCTGAGGCTCCAGTCTCCTTGCAGGAATGATGCTGATGGGAAATGATGGTGACGTGCAGAATCGTGATTTTTTAAGCTGAAATCAGCCAAAGACACAACAGGATTGCACAAACCTAATATTTAGGCCCAGTTTAACCTTCTTATACCTCAATCTTGGTGGCGCAAAGCCTTCCCTGATGTTTTTGCAAACTAGAACTAGCTTTCCACCTTTAATGACTGTTTACTTCTTTTGCATTTTCATTGTCATGGTTGTTTTCTGCGATACTTACTAAGATCATCATGGGCAGAACTTCAGCCAAAGATCAGGCAAGCTCAGCTCAGTCTCTTCCTGTGGGCTCAAGAATACAGACTTCTCTCCTCATTTTATCTGTTTGGACATGAGATCTTGGCAACATTTTTTTCCCCCTAATTCCTAGACTTTCCCACATTATATTTACATTTTTGCCATGTAACCATTATTATTTATTTCCTCCAGTACAATAAATTTTCCTTTTGATCAAACCTGCCTAGTCAGCAAGTAGCCTGCATGCCTCACTGGCCTGGCATTTTCCATGCCCCGTTTTGGTCTCAGCCATGCCAGTTGTTCCCCAAGCCCCACACATTCAGCCCCTCTGAGCCTTGGCATGTGCTTTTCCTTCCTCATGACCTAAGATCTGCATCCCTTGAGACTCTCCATGAGTGCAGCTCCCTCCAGGAAATCTTCCGCTCACTCCCCAGTGCAGCCTCGGGCTGTCCAGTGTGCCCACCCAGAGCATCCTTCCCAGGTTATAATAGGTTTTGAATATACCTGCCTCCTGGAAACAAGATTCCACCCAGTCTTTGCTTTCCTATCCTTGTTCTTGTGCTCCAGTATCTTGAATAGGGGTCCTTAATTTGCATTTTATGACACCGAAAGCTTTCTGCCTGAGATGACTGTACTATCTAGTCATTCCCCTTCAGACTCTGACCTCATTAGGGAATGTTTCTACAGTAATAGCCTCCGTCTCCCTCCTTCCCCTATTCACTCCTTGATAAAATTCACCCTTGTAATCCCTAGAAGTAATTCAGTACAAGGCAGGAGATGTGGCAGAATCTATCTGTTTTGGAACCTGCCAAGCCAAGAGGGTTTAAGGTGGCTATTAAAGATTTTGCAAATGCCACTTACATCAGAAAAATAGCATTTATCATTTGCTTTCTTAGCTGTAAAACAGTCTCAGCCAAGCTGAAGCTGATCACATTGGCCGTGCAACAAAGGTAATTTATTCATCGTACACAAAGTCTCCTGTTAACTAAAATCAGAATTTTAGTGCTGGCTGAGCGGCTAGCTAATGTATCTCTCATTGTACAATTACCCTCTAGACCAAAAAGGCAGCTCTTCAGAGAGTACTTTTTAATTGTTTTCTTTCCTAAACTTAGTCATTGTTGTCTCCTGCAGATGTCTAAGAATTAACTTATTCATAGACATTAACCTATATTTTTCCTTTACTCCCTTTCTAATTCATATTTTGCTGGGTGCTTTATATCTGCTTAAAGTCTTCCCATTTTCTTGGTGGCTTTTCTTAACAATCCCTTCTCTGGGAGAATTTCTATTTTTTGAGAGCAGGAACTCTGGAGAGTTCTTCACACTGCTCTGATTTATAGCTGTTTCTTCCCAGTGCCTCTTTCCTAAGCCCCAGTGATCACCACTCACCATCTTGCTTCACCTGAAACCCTAAACACACACTTTCTGCCCCTCTGGTTGTTGACAACTTAAAATGAATTTGAGGGACCAGATATGGTGGCTCATGCCTATAATCCTAGCACTCTGGGAGGCCAAGGCAGGAGGATCACTTGAGGTCAGGAGTTCAAGACCAGCCTGAGCAAAGTGAGACCCCGTCTTTATTAAAAACAGAAAAATTAGCCAGGTATGTTGGCATGTACCTGTAGTCCCAGCTACTTGGAAGGCTGAGGCAAGAGGATAGTTTGAGCCCAGGAGTTTGAGGTGGTTGTGAGCGAGGCTAAGGCCATGGTGGTCCAGCCTGGGTAACAGAGCATGATTCTATCTCGAGGAAAAAAAAAAATCCTAGGCTGCAATATTTACTCACATCCTCTGCCTGGGGCTTAGCAAACACCCCCATGGTTAAATCCCCGGACAGTTTTCCCTCCCAGCTCACCTGTAAAGTAAATGCTTCGAAGAGGGTTCACTGTGCTTTCCCCATGCCTGCGTCCCTGCACGTGGTGTTGGCGTGGGAAGAGGCCAGCACCGGCACTTTGAGATGTCCACTCCAGCTCTGAGTGTTCTCAGCGTGCTGATAGTACAATTCAGAGACAGAAGGTTGAGGGACCCACGAAGGGCTGAGAACAGGCGGGTGAGTGTGTGCAAATGAAATCTGGCTGCGTTTAAACGTCTTCCAGTTAGCAACTACCAATCGAGGGAAATAGAGGATGGAGTGCTGTCCTCTCCCACTGTCTCCACTGTCATCCTCGCCCTGTCCTTTCTTCCTACCCTCTGACTCCACGTGCTTTCCTTGGGGAGAGTTAGCCTGGTCTCAGGGACATGCAGATCCGTGGGGTCTCACTGGCTCTGCCCAGAGGAGGAGCCGCTTCCCAGTGGCTCTGACCCTCTTACCTTCCTCCATCCTCTTCCTAGGAGAAAGCCCAGGGCTCCCTCCAGGAGACGGCTGCACGTTGCTGTTCACCAGACCCTTTATCTTTGTCTCACTCACGGTAGCCTCAGTGCTGGGAGTCTTAGTTGCTTTTCACCTAGGAATTTGAAGGGGTGAAGGAATCTGATGTCCTCAGGAAGCCTCTGAAAGGGAAGAATTTCTATAGGCCGATAGAGAAATACTGTTTGGACACGAGGATTACGGGGATGTAGAAACCTTTCAGTTTCACGCACTGAGTATAGGTGTGACCACCTGTTTAGGCCAGAAGGAATCCTGGCCTGTGGGAGATCTGTTTTCTCTCTGATTTCTTATTGTCCTTTAAAGACGTGTTGTCTAGGGACGTGCCTTACATTTTCTGTCAGTGGTGGCTGACTCTCCTTGTCTCTCAGGGAGGAAGATGAGTACTCAGAACTGCGGTCAGAACTCAGCCAGAGTCAGCATGAGGCCAACGAGGACTCCCGCAGTGTGGACCAAGACCAGACCTCCGTCTCCAATCCCGAAAACCAGTCTACCATGGTCACAGCCGACATGGGTGAGTCTGCTTGCCTTTAGCACGGAGCCAGAGTTTGGTTTCTGGATGGTGGTAGGAAGTTTAAAATGTGAGGCAGCCTGACTAAAAATTTAATTATCCAAGGAGTTTGGTGAGTGGATGAAGGCATATCCACTTCAGTCCTTGACACACTGCTTTGTTGGTCAAAACGGAACTGAAGAGCTTAATTAGCTTTCTACCCTGATGGGATTGTGAGTCAAATGTCTGTCACTTCTATTGGAAAATTCTAGAAGTAGGGACCCAGGTAAAAGGCTATTGAAGTATTCCCAGTTACAGTAGTATCTGAACTGTGACTCTGGGAATGGAAGGGGTGGGCTGGGGCAGCACCTTGCAGAGAACGAACCTCAGTAGGTTCTTGCAATGTTTGGGTTGGGTAAGAAGGAAGAATCCCCAAAGACTCCAACACGTTGCTCCTGAGTGACTAAGAGATGGTCATATTCCTTAGGGAAGAAGTTGGGTTAAGAAATTAGTTGGGAAATAGTCATATTAGGTTTGAGGTTGCAAAAAAAAATACATGTGGAAATTTGTGGTACAGTGTATTTAAAAAAAAAAAAAAACAGGTCATGACCCTCAATTGGTTCTTAAAATTATACAAAAAATATCTTTTAAATGAGAGCAGGCCAGGTTTGGTTGCTCACACCCATAATCCCAACAGACCTGGAGGCTGAAGCAGGAGTATCACTTGAGGCCAGGAGATTGAGACCAGCCTGGGCAGCATGATGAGACTTTGTCTCTACTAAAAATAAAAATTAGCCAGACATCATCGTGCCTGGAGTCCTAGCCACTTAGGAGGCTGAATAGGAGGATCTCTTGAAGTTAGTGAGCTATGACCAGGCTGCTACACTATAGCCTGGGTGATGAAATGAGACCTCTCCACTTAAAATTTTTTTTAAAAAAAGCAAATAGGCAATACAGTGACAGTAGTATTTCATGAAACTCGTTGCTTGCGTGTTTGTGTGGGTAGTAAGTTGCCAGGTGAATGTTCTAACTGGGTTGCAGTCACAACGTGGCGAAACCACTGGTCTTGCCTCTCTGGATGTGTGAAGAGAGCTTGAGGTTAGAGGCTTTGAAGTCATCTGAAGGTGATCAAAAGGGTATGGAATCCAGAGGGAGGAGCACCACGTCTTAGGAAATGCTCATGTGTGGGAGAGACTGGAGAAGAACCAGGAGAAAGAAGAAGCATGAGGAGGAGGTCGAGGCCGGGGAAGTAGACAGGAGCCAGATCACACAGGGTCTTAGAAAACATACTTGTGGCTTAAGTGGCTAAGGCGCCAGCCACATACACCTGAGCTGGCGGGTTCAAATCCAGCCTAGGCCCACCAAACAACGATGGCTGCAACCAAAAAATAGCCGGGTGTTGTGGTGGGCGCCTGTAGTCCCAGCTACTTGGGAGGCGGAGGCAGGAGAATTGCTTGAGCCCAGGAGCTGGAGGTTGCTGTGAGCTGTGATGCCATAGCACTCTACCTAGGGTGACAGCTTGAGGCTCTGTCTCAAAAAAAAAAAAAAAAGAAAGAAAGAAAGAAAACATATTTGGCCTTTTCCAGAGATCCATAAGAAGCTCTTGAAGATTTTATTGATAAGTCAGGGGCAGGGATGAGACGATCAGATGTGCATTTTGACAGATAGCATCCCTAGATCAAGAGTGAGCTGGGGAGGCCAGCTAGGAAATTATTGCAAAAGTCTGGGTGGGCAAAATTGTTGCTTGAATTAGGGTGGTGGCAACTGAGTTTAGAAAAGGTATAAAATTTGCAAGATGTGCTGAAGGATTAGAGACAGGGAGGAAGCAGACTGGCGCCCGTCCGCCGTATAAGCTTGGTTTGCACAACAGATGGACGGCAGGTCACTCAGCATTGTGGGAACACAGGCAAAAGGACCAGGTGGTTTTGCTCAGTGGAATGGATTTGTTTGCCTGTGAGTTTGAGGTGCCTTGAGATACCTGGGTGGAGATGCTGCAGAAGGCAGTGGGGATACAGGCAGGAAGGCTTGGGCTGAGGAAACAGCTGGGAGCGCTCACGGTGTGTGCAGACTGCGGCTGAAGAGTGAAGGCAGTTGAAGTGCAGAGTGCGGAGAGGAGAGAGCTCAAGACACGGCCCAGGGACGGCCCGCTGGGGAGCAGAGGTGGTGGCAGGAGGCTGCAAGGAGCACTCCCCAGTTTAGTCTCTGTTTAAATGCGACTTTTCAGAGAGAGCGTGGGTTTGCATCTGTCCCTGGGTGGACTCTGTCCCTTCCGCATTTGTTAACTCCTCCTGTCACATGACATTTTAAATTGCATATTCTTATTTATTTGCTTGCTGGACTCTCCCACGGAACTCCACGAGGCGAAGCATATGCGTCTGTCTCATCTCTGTAGCCCTGCAGAGCCCATCCCGGGGCCTGGCACACTGAGTGTGTTCAAAGATGGTCAGAATGAGTGAATGAATGAAGTGATCACACCAGCCAACTGGCTAAAGAGACAGGAAGAACATGAGGAGAGTGTCGTCCTGAAAGCTGGTGGGGCAGAGGAGGCTGTAGGGAAGGAGTCGTCAGCAGTCTGGATGGTGCTAAGGACAAGCCAGATGGATTTGGCTGCATCCAGGTTGTGGAGAGGTGTGTGCTGAGGGCAGCGTAGGCCAGACAGAGATGCGGCCAGACTTTCCTCCTTCATGCTGACCTGAACCCCAATGCTGGGCTTTATGTTACAACACACACGTGCAACACATGGTGACCAGCCTTCTCTGTAGCCAAAGCCCTCCATGCTGAGCTCAGCCAGCACCATAAATCTCTAGCAGTTTCAGGGCTGTGCCTTCCAGCCGGACACATTCTAGTGGCCAAGAAATTCCTCATGGCTGCAAAGGGTCAGCCCTATACTCATCCTTTCACTTGTTTCCCCCAAATTGTATTTTGTGAAATTAATAAGTGACCCACAGTCCAACAAAGTTTCATAGGTAATTAAGTTCGGTAAATGCAGGGGAAAATCCACTTACACGAGGTGTCTTTCCTGCCGGCCTTGCCGAGCTCCCGACGTGAGGCTGTGTCTGGCCCTGCTCCGGCCTGTGCCCACCTGTCTGTTCCAGGGGCATCTCCATTTTCCTAAATCATTCAGATCATTTCTTTCCATCCTGTCCCTTATCTTTAAAAACACAGGTTAGTTGAAACCCTGTCTTTCCTGACAAGAAAGAGCCCCTGGAGGGGATCCCTCTGCTATGTGGCCCCAGTTCTCTGCCCACACGTGGTGGCCTCTGCTCACCTCCTCAGCAGACTCACAGTACCCTGTAAGGTGCTGGGGACACAAGACACAGAATCTGCCAAGAGATTGCTGTACTCCCGGGCCCAAATCCCTCAAGCCTGGCGTGACCGTGCACCGTACAGGGCCCACAGCGCTCGCTCATCCACTCTGACCACGCTGGTAGCCTGGCTTGCTCTTCCTCCAGCCTGACCAGCTCCTCCTGCCTCAGGCTCTGCTTTGGCTGATCTTCTGCCTGGAATGTGCCTTCCTAAAATTGACATGCGTCTTGCCCCAAGAATCCCCCTCCTCCTCAGAGCCTCTGACCCCTAGAGGGCTGCGCCTTCCTCCTGCTTACAGGGTGGCTCGCTGCCCTCTCCCTGTTGATTACCTGCCTTTCACTTTGCTCTACCCCAGGCTGTGTTGAGTTTGTACATCTCTCACACATGTGCAGTCCTTGGGGGACAGGGACTTCAGTTATCTGGTCCCCAGACCCAGCATGGCACGGAGGAGGCATTCAGATGCTGGATAGCAGTCGGCACCCTGCTGGAGTGCATAGCTCCTAAGAGGATGTGCACAGTTGCACAGCAGGCCTCATAGCTGGGCCGGCCTACCCAGGGGGCCCGGCATGGTGACCTCAGGCAGGAGCATGCAGAGCATTTCCCGGGAGTCACCCTAAGCAGGAACCAGAGAGCTGAGTGAAAGGGAGCAGTGGGCAGGAGGAGGGTGCTCTAGGCAGAGCTTGGTGAGGTCCCGAGGAAGGCAGGCACTTGGGGACAGCAAGGAGAAGGTCATTACGGCTGCCCACACAGTGCAGTGTGTTTATTCATCGGAACTGGCCGCCTGCCTCTTATTCCTTTGCCATTTTCCAATTAAATTGCTTCAAAAGGAAAAAAGTTCCCATATATAAACACCATTATAGGAAATCATTACAAAGTACCCATTTCATTATGGTTGCTATATTTGCAAACTTGCATTAGTAACCCAGAGGTCTTCTTTGAACTGGACTTCTTTCTTAGCTGCAGAATATGCTGGCAGTGCATTTGCTGATCCCCAAAGATAACAGGAATGTATCCAGCCTAAACACTTCATCAAGAAACGCTTTCAACCCCTACCTGACGGAGCCTGGATGCCCTTCAGTAAGCTGGTCCAGGAACCAGGACACTGTCCTCTGTCCAGGGGTAAATGGGCAATTTAGAAAGTGCTTCAACTTCCTAAGCAAGCAGTTGAAGGAAGGAGAAAGGCCCCAGCATCTTCATATAAATTCCCTCTCTGCAAACCTAGTCACACAATTGTTTAGAAAATAAAGGTCATTAAATGGACAAAGCCAAGGTAGGAATCCAGAGCTTAGAATTTTTATGCCCTCATTCTGGTAAGGAGTTGTAGTTAAAAGAGAGGCTGGATATAACAGCTGACGTCCTTTGCTCACTTGCTCCATGTCACGCATTTACAAGCCTCCCTCCTGTTTATTTTATTTTATTTTATTTTTTGAAATAGAGTCTCACTCTGTCATTCTGGGTAGAGTTCCATGGCATCATAGCTCACAGCAACCTCAACCTCTGGGCTTGAGCAATCTTCTTGCCTCAGCCCCCCAAGTAGCTGGGGCTACAGGCACCCAGCACAACACCTGGCTAGTTTTTCTATTTTTCATAGAGACTAGGTCTTGCTCTTGCACAGACTGGTCTCAGATTCCTGCACTCAGGCAATCCTCTACATCGGCCTCCCAGAGTGCTAGGATTACAGGCATGAGCCATTGCACCTAGCCCATCCCTCCTGTTTA